AAGCTGCCACATAACATTGTTGGCTCATGTTTAACTTGTTGTCCACAAGGACTCTTAAGATCTTTTTCTGTAACTTTGCATTTAATTTTTTTTCTGCCTAAGTGGAATATCTTGCATTTGTCCCTGTTGAAGTTCATTTTCTTAGTTTCGGCCCATCTCTCTAATTTTCATGAAAAATTCATTTTCATGAAGAATTGCCTGTGCTGTCTATTAAGAACGACAATGAATCATTGAGAGACTTCCAGCTTTTTTATTATTATTGATTGATGAAATAGGAAAATACCATCCTATTCCAAGGGCCAGTGGTTTAAAATGAAGACGTGTGTGGTCTAAAATCAACGGAAATTGTTTAATCTAGAAAGCATAGAGCAAGTTGCATTCGGTACACATTATTACTGAAAGAAAGCAAAGAAGGCTGATCCTTTTACATATGACATATTTTAGTGGAGACCCAAAGTTTTTTTTCTGTTTGAGAAGAACATACATTATATTCTGGGCACATATATCTTGCAGCCTTTGTGGGATTTGGGGACCATTTTACTTCCCAGTGAGCTTTTAAGAGATCTGGATCACACCATTATCCTCTCAATTTTTCCATGAGTGGAAAACAGTTTTCATTGCTTGGAATAACTGTAACCATTGGCTTTGGATTTTATATAAAAGAACATAAATCTCTTTCACTTGATGCATTCTAATAAATTTCTTTATGAGATGACAAAAATGCATGGATTAATATTTTTAAAATAAAATAATATTTTTAAATTCAAATAGCATTCTGAAAGCACCTTAATGTGCCCTTCTTTTGTATTGTGGGTCTCTTATATTTATTTCCTATGACATATGCATTATTGATATAATTAGAAGCAGTGACTGTAAAAAATAACACTTAAATCATGCAGGCATAAAGAGAGCCTCAGAGATTCAGAACTACATTTTGCTGCGTTCTAGCTTTTATCTTCGATTTTGCACTTCTGAGCTCAATTCAAAGTGCTGGTTTTGACCTATAAAGCTCTATACAGTTCTGGCCCAGCTTACTTGTCCGAACGCATCTGCCTCTATGTCCCACCTCATAACTTAAAATCATCTGGAGAGGCCCTGCATCTCGCTCCCTCCAACATCACAAACGCGGCTGGCAGGGACGAGAGACAGGGCCTTCTCGGCTGTAGCCCACCGTCTGTGGAATGCGCTTCCAAATGAAATACTATCGACCCCATCCTTCCTGGCGTTCAGGAAGTAATTAAAATCTTGGTTTTGGGACCAGGCTTTTGGACAATAAACATAAAGCAGCACTTTGACTGGAAATGGATTGGCAAGAAGATATATACGAGGATACGGTTTTATTGTTCTATTAATGGGTTTGTGGACTGAGTATTGTTTTAATGACTGTTATGATAATTTGGCTATAATTAATTGCTATTGTTTTAACTCTGTATGTATTTATGGTTTTATACCATGTTATTGATTTGTGGCATCAAATTGCTTCCTTTGTTAGCCGCTCCGAGTCTCCCCCCCCCCGGGGGGGGTTGAGAAGGGCGGGGTAAAAATGCTGTAAATAAATAAAATAAATTTTTGTCCTATGAAGGTTGTTTATTTTTAAAAGGGACACGTTTAAAATGAAATTTGTACATCTTTTTGATCATTCGTAATTAATTTATAAAAGGAAAAGAATTCAATTTTAACCCAAGACCAAGCTTAGCATCCTAATATATATGGTAAAGCTCTAAATCTAACATTGTACTGGATCAATGGTTCTTCAACCATCTGATTTAGCAAACCAGCAAGTTTCTTTTTTCCACAGTGCGCCAAGGACCAGCATCATCCTGTGCCATTGACTACAATGCCCTTTCTTTCTTTTTTTCTTTCTTTCCTGAAAACTCACCACCTAATAGCAGTCAATAGCTCAAGATTAGCACCAACCCAAGGACCAGCACTTTGAATAGCACTGTGCTAATTTCTCTTTCCAGCTCCATTTCAGCCCCACAGTATCCTGTGATGTACAAAATACTGTCCTTAAGAAATTCGCAGCCATTCCGAATTGGATATGAAGGGCTGGAACAAGCCCACTGGTTGATAGCCAACATTTTGTTCATAAAGCATAGGAAACTTCATGAATAAGATCTAATCAATGACCCACTAGTTCAGTACCATCTACTTTGACAAGCTCTAATGCCCCCGGTGGTGCAACAGGTTAAACCCTTGTGCCAGCAGGACTGCTGAGCTGAAGGTTGGGTTTCTGACCTGAAAGTTGCCAGTTGAGTTTGGAAGAGCTCCCTCTGTCAGCTCCAGCTCCCCATGCAGGACATGAGAGAAACCTCCCACAAGGATAGTAAAACATCAAAACATCTGGGCGTCCCTTGGGCAAAGTTCTTGCAGATGGCCAATTATCTCACACCAGAAGCGACTTGCAGTTTCTCAAGTCGTTTCTGACACACACAAAAAAATGTAAATTATATTCATAGGCTTAAAACCAACTGAATGACGTAGACTCACTGAATCAATTGGATTTACCCATGTGTTGAATCTTTATTCAATAATTTCTTGGTCTACCATAATTGGGAGTAACCAACAGAATACCAACATTAATGGCTCTCAAAAATTGGCATAATGTCTTTAAACTATCACTTAGACCAACTATTTCCCCATAATCCTTTACATTCTTTCTCTATTTTAGGAGCCTGTTGGAATGATAAACCTTTGGATACTTGAGTATCCAAAGTTTCCCTGCACCTCCATGCCGTAACTCTGATCTGTCCAGGCCGCCTTCAGCAATGGGACTACAATTTTCAAATGATGATATGATCTCTCCCTCTGACTCTGGAGTTCTACATTTGACCTTGGAGGATATTACGTACATGTATTCTATGAAGTAAACCGGAGGGCAAAGGGGATTTGATGAGTCTGAAGCCATTTTGCCCAGCTGGAGCTAGCTGTCTCTCTCTCTTGCACGCACACATACAAAGTTAATGTAAACCCACTTTGTGGTGTTTCCTTTAAATCATCTTTTTTTCTTTTCTTTTTTTACTAAAGACTATGCCACTGTGCAGCTTATTTTGACAATAAATAATGATTCCTGGAGTGTCTTTCTCAATGTTTACATCAAACAAAATTGGTGGTAGCATTCCAGGGACTGCAGAAAAGTTTGAGGGAGTTGAATGTGTTCTTTTTAATGTGTCTCTTACCTTTGGACTAATTCTTCCCCTGTGTGCTTGACAGAGGACTGAGGGGACTCTGGATATTGCACAGACATAGAATTGTTTGCTTAATTCTTACATGCTAACCAATAGTGGACAAACATTAGTGGTTGGCCTAAATACCTTAAAAGCAGCAGATCCCCTCTGATCTTGAAAGCTAAGCAGTCAGCCCTCCCTCGTAGTTTGGTGACAGATCAATAAGGAAGACCAGTTGCTGTAAATTACATTTCAGAGGAAAGAACTGACAAAACTACCTCCTGAGTATTTCTGGTCCAAGAAAACCCTATGAAATTGTTAGGTCACCATACACTGACAAGTGACTTGAAGGCACACACAGAGCGAAGCTGTTCCTTAAAGGAAAAAAAAAAACAAGGAAGAAAGGAGAACCAGTGGGAGGAAGCTGACCCTACCCAAATAATGCCTTAGGGGTAACCTGCACTTGCCCAGCAATTATTTGCTTCTGTACTGCTATGTACCATACACTTTACTTTATTATAAAATCTGCAGCCTGTGTCTGGGCTAAAGCAAATGACTTGAAGGCACATACTCACCCACACACATCCTGTTAGTGACATGTATATATGCAAAACTCAAATATATTAATTTTTGAATGAAGCACTTGAGAGACTATTCTCTAGCTTCTTGGGCCCATCCAAAATCTCATCTCATGTCAGCCAACCCTTATGTAATCAATGCTATGGAAGAGGAGATGGGTGACTGGGAAGCCAGGACTCCCTGTCCCCCTGTGGTTTGTATGTATGGGAGGCACAATACTGACACAAGAATGTTGTCCCTCTGTCCCTCTCTGTAACAAACTACAGAAGAACAAAGGTAGTTTCCCTGCTGCCCAGGCACTTGCCTCCCTCTCCCATACCATTTAATAGAAGCAGTGGTAGCTCTATGGGCTAAAGCATGGTGATGTTAGTGGAGGAAAGGCATAGATCTATTCATGAGGAGTAGTTATGCTCTATATTCCCCATTTAGGATCTCAGTCAACATACTGGGCAAAAGGTGGAGCAACTGCCTAAAGCACCAGCATTGATATTCAATGCAGAACAGCTATTTATGAGACCATAGGCTACTGAACAGGACTGGGAATTCCTGCATACTTTTAATGCCCTGGCTGAGAAGAATAATTCCTGTCTACATTGATAAGTCTGAGGAGGTAACTATGGAGCTAACAGATACCTATAAAGCCATACAGTTACGAACCAGCTTGCTATTCTTGGAGCAAATAAAGGCTGTTCATATCAGTGATGACAACCAATATCAACAGCATCAATGTTAAGATGCATCTACATGTAGAATGAAAGCAGTTTGACACCACTTTAATTGCCATGGCTCAATGCTACAGAATCATGGTGGTTGTTTGTAGTTTCTAAGGTCTTTTGCCTTCTCTGCCAAAGAGTGTTGATGCCTCACCTAACTATGAATCCCAGGATTCCATAGCATTGAGCCATCGCAGTTAAAGTGGTTTCCAACTGCATTAATTCTACAGTGTAGGGCCAACCTAAGTCTTATAAGATAGCTTTAATATATCCACTCCATATGATGAGTATTTTGTTCTGCTTCCTCACTATGAGAAATTTATCTCAATATGTTGAACACCAGCAAGAAAGAATGCAAACCTCTTCAAATAACATGTAACACTGACATTTTAAAAATGGCTCTTGGTCATATTAACATTTTAAAAAAATAACATGAGAATTGGGTCTGCCACTCAGAAAATGTCCAACTTGGCAAAAGGTGCCTGTCCTGTGAAATACATCAGTAAGCAACAGAACACAAACATGTGCACAAAACAAGGGGAAGGGTGAGAACAAGGGATATTTAATGTCAAAAAGAAACTGTACATCTAGGACCATGGCAAGGAGAATGAAAAAGAGCTTGTCAAAATGATCATCCCAGTCGAAGTTCACACAGAAAGTGGGGTGTTGTGTTTGTTGAGTCCCCTGTGTGACACTTACTTAGAACATAGTCTCTATTGCAAAACAAGTCAGTCCAAGAGACAGATAGCCAGTTCTTTCCCCACTAGATTCCCTCTTGCCTGCATTCCACCAAATGCAGAAGAACCAGATGCTGGAAGCTGTGACGGGATATAAGGGTAAAGCAGCACTTGTAGGTCAAAGGTAATATTTTCCTTCCCCATTTGGGGTGGGGAAGCCATCTGTCACTGTGCAACAGTCTTTCTTCAATCCTCATGTTGACTGCACCATGCATAGCTCTGTCTTCGAAGCCATCCTTCAACATTGAACACAGGTCATTAGCCTTGTAGTTTGGTATCCCACAGTGTGTTTTGACAAGAAGCAGAAAAAGTCTCAAAGTCCTTTTGAAAATCAACCTGAGCATCTACGGCACTTCCTTTGGCAGTGCCCAAAAAGCACTTAACACCCAATATGAATTTTAGCCATAAGGTGACAGAGACAACCTATCTCATCCTCCTGGTTTTGGAATAAAGGAGCTTCAGTCAGATCTTTTTTCTCCACTGACCCTCAGGTTTCCCTTTTATCCCGACTACATTATTTCAAAGATAGAAGGAAACCAATACACAAATCCCCCTCTGTTTTGTTGTTGTTGCCATGTTTTGGCTCCTCAAATGATTGAAGAAGGAAAAGGAGCAACCCAACCAGCCACCTCTTCTAAAGGAAACATTTTTAGGCCCTTTCCCCCAAAATGTCTCTTAAATAAGATTCTTTAATTATTATCATTAACATCAACATCACCATCTATTTATTTATACAAATATATAAAATATATTTATATAGATTTATATAATATAAATTTGTAGCTCTTGTGGACCTTTCATTTACAGACATACTGGTCAACGATTTCTGTGCACTTTTTACACTTGACGTAACAACACCAGTGAAACTTGCAGTGGCAGCGTTCCACTTGCACGCTCTTGAATTGGTCATAGCCCCGGCCGCAGCACATGAGCTCGCAGCCGTCCATGCCCTCTGAGGTCTTATTGCAGAGCCGTCCTTGGGTGCCCAGGGACCCAGTGGTCTCATTGCGGAGGCAGTAGTCAGGGCTGGGATCAATGTAAACTAGGTCTTCTGGAGTCGGTGCATTGAAGCGGCTGTTCACTAAGTCCAGCTTGCCCTTGCGGTTGATTCTCATAGCAGCAGCACTGTCATACTTCTCTTTCAGAAGATCACCCACTTTGCGGAAGTCCGCCAGCTGCAACCAACAGGTCTTGAGGCTGCAGGAACCTGAGACACCATGGCATTTACAGGCAACATCTGCCAGTTTGTATACCGCCTGCAGATGGGAACAGAGAAAACAGAAGCAGATAAATGCCTCACCAGCATTAAGGGCTTTATTAAAATGATCAAATAATAGTGCAAAGTGATGCATGTTTACACAGAAGTTCCACTGAGATTCATAGATAAATGTCCATGAATCCCTTCTTTGCGTTATTAATTTTTTTTTGTTATTGTGTGCATTCTAGTTACAATAGAGTCTCACTTATCCAATCTTCAATCATCCAACATTCTGTATTATCCAGGACAGTCTGCCTCCCACCCGGATCCACAGCTGTTTTGATACATTGTGATGTTTTGGTGCTAAATTCGTAAATACATTAATTGCTACATAATGTTATTGTGTATTGAACTGCTTTTTCTGTCCAACTGATGTAAAACATTATGTTTTGGTGCTTAATTTGTAAAATCATAACATAATTTGTCGATTAATATGCTTTTTCTTAATCCCTCCTTATTATTTTCACTTAACCAACGTTCTGCCGGCACATTTATGTTGGATAAGCTAGACTCTGCTGTATTTTTGATTTATGGTGATCCTGAAGTGAACCTATAATGGGATTTTCAGAGAAGATTCAGAGAAGATTCACTATTGTCTTCTTTTGAGATTGAGAGAACGTGATTCACCAAAGCCCACTCAGTGGGTCTCCATGGCAGAGTACAAATTCAAACCCTGATCCTAGTCTAACACTCAAGTCACTATAACCATGCTGGGTGTGTATATCTGTATACCAATAGTACATGAGGTCTGCACAACCTGTGGCCCTCCTGGTGTTTTGGATTTCAGCTCCCATAATTCCTGACCATTGGCTAAGCCGGCTAGGGCTTCTGGGAGCCTGCAGTCTCAAACACCTGGAGGATCACAGATTGTGCAGGTCTGTTCTACATGAATACTATGTCTAAGGATCTGCATTTTGGTCATGTCAGGAGCGACTTGAGAAAGTGCAAGTCGCTTCTGGTGTTAGACAATTGGCCGTCTGCAATGATGTTGCCCAGGGGACGGCCGGATGTTGTGATGTTTTAAGATCCTTGTGGGAGGCTTCTCTCATGTCCCCGCATGAGGAGTTGGAGCTGACAGAGGGAGCGCATCCACACTCTCCCCGGATTTGAACCTGCGACCTCGCGATCGCACAGGGGTTGAACCCACTGCACCACCGGGGGCTCCAATGGATCTGCATGGAGGATATAGCTATGGTGATGTGACTATAACCCATCTCCCAATTCAACTGCAAAAATTTGACTGCAACTTAAAAATTTGTAGGTTTGGTTTACTGGATATCAGACACCACTATATTTAAATTCACCCGTCCTCCAAGACAAGTAGCAACATGGCTTCTTGTTCTTCATGAAAGCCCTGCACATCAGGATTTATTGTATTTACTTTATTTTATATCCCGCCCCCTCTCCCTAAATGAGGGACTCAGAGCGGCTAACAGCAACAATTCAACGTCATTCAAACTTATCTATTTATTTCTCTATCTAACTATCTTTATATGGCTGTCTTTAATGTATGTTCTCTATGTGGCTCCAAGGCAGCTAAGCTGAGAAGCTGTCTATCATAGACCATCAATTTCACACAAATAAATCATGAATAAATACTCAGAACCCCTCCTGCCCTTTAAATCCCAGCCACCAACCCATTGCATAGGAAATTGGCAGAAACCACATGTTGGGGGAATGTCACCTTCATGTCTATGTACTTTACTTCTTGAGCTAGAGATAACACAGACACAATCAACAAGAGTGTAGATGCAGCAGCTACAGTAGTTGCATCTTGCTCGCCATCTGGTGGTAAATGACCTGTTTGGTCCACTTTCCCCCATTATTACTTTTATAGCTTGGAATATTTGGTGCTTAATGAATTTTGTAACAGCAGCTACACAACATTATTTGAGCTGTTCCAGACACAAGGGTCAAAGTCAGTCCAAGTATGCTGACTTGAACCTTGTTTCCAAGAACAATTTGAATAAGAATTGTTTGAAAATAAATATTACACTTTGGAAGCCCCAAACTAAAGTCTACCACTGAAAATATATACTTTGATGATAATGTACACGAAGGAGAATGTTTATTCCTGTTGAATCATCTCCATGCATTAAAATTTTAGGGTTTTTTATTGTGTAATGCTGTAATTTGAAAATGAGAGGAACTGTTTACATATAATATATCCTCTTAACAGTTATAATCACGTACTGTTCTGCATGGATAAAAATGCTTCTGGATAATCAGGAAGGACATGTTTTGTAAAATACTTTCAGACTGAGTATGCTGTGCAGCTCCAAAAATTTCACAGCCAGTGACCAAGCTGATGATATGCTGGAAGTTGTAATAATTTAAAAAGTAGCTTGCCCAAGTTCTGCTAAGCTTAAAAGCACATAACATACCAAATTTTCTGGAGTTACCAGTCAATACATCTTACTACCTAAATAGGATCTCTCAGTAGAATTCCACAGATATCACCTTATGGTTTTCATGAAAGATGAGATATAATATAAATTTATCTTACAATCAATTAATATGCAACAGTGATTTGTATAGAATTATTTGCTAGCGTGGTGGGTACTACATGACCTTCAAGTAATAAATGGGCCACTGAAGATGCCAGCCACAGATACAGGAGAAATGTCAGGAGAAAATGCTGCTAGAACATGGCCATACAGCCTGGAAACCATGTAACACCCCAATCTTGTAATACCTTTAAAACTAACCCAAACGTAGCAATAACGTTTGTTGACTCTAGTCCACTTCTTCAGAAGGACTGGACCCAAGAAAGCTTATCTTGAAATAAATGGTGCCACTTCCTTCTACTTATATTGAAATAGACCAACACAACTCTCTCTCTCTCTCTTTCTCCCTCCCTCCCTCTACCTCTTTCTTTCTCTCTCCCTCTGAAAATTGTTCAGTGTTATATGATGCTTAAATCAGAGATGAGAGATCTGTGGTAAACTGCTGGATGTTTGCTGCTCCAGAAGTTGTATTAGCCCCATGGCAGACATACATGCATCTTTTCATAAATCTGCATTTCAGTCTGGAGACTTTATGATCATTTTTCGTAAGGAAACTGACATTAATCCTAATGGGAACAAGAGCCATGGGTTCTTTTTAAATCCACCTCAGGAAAAAGGAGAGCTGACTTGGCTATAGTCACCAACATCCTGAAACAATCTCTCTTCTCTCTGGCAAAGTTAAGCTCTGCTCCATTTAACCATGGTGTGATGTGTGGCTTGCATCCATCATGAGCAGAACCGTGATAATAAGAACAGTCTACAGAGCAATTTAAAATGATAGTTGATACTTGAAGGATGCAAATAAAGCTTTTGGAGCTCTCTCTGGCCTGGGAATGGGTGGGTTGGAACAAGTCATTCATACACAAAAGTGGCACATTTCGAAGACTGCAAGCAGCAGAGAAACTTGGAAAGCATTTTTCCTCTTCATGAAGAAATATTGATATGCTCTGAATATGAGCCCTTGCTTTATGAGATCACCACATCTTGTCTTTTAGCAACAAATACTCTGCTTCACTTGGGGATTTTTCTTCTTTTCCGTTCATACTAGCTGCTCCCATCAAGAGAGGAAACCTAAGAGCATTCCCTTCTGTTTGTTTCCTTGCAGCATAGCTTTAATCTAAGCTCAGCTTTGCAATGATAATAATTGCTCAGTAAGTTTTTAGTCTGTTATGTGACTTTTTAAAAAGTCTGAATAGTTTTAAACTGTTTAATGATAGCATAAGCTTTACTTTTAGTCTCAATTAGAGTACAGCCATTTGATCTACTGGATTTATCTGTGTATCGATTCAATGAGTTTATTCTAGTTGGGATGACACAACATGATTCCAACCATGACTTGTATGCAGCCCTGAAATTCCACTGTAAAAAGCAGGATATATATGTTAATACAGACAGACAGACATATGAGTGGAGATGTTTAGGCAGTGTTCTATTGAAGCAGTTTCTCCCATTTGTTATGAGCCAGCAGAACATTATTCTGCTGAGCTAGACACTAGAAATTTTAAGAATGCTCTAGATAATCTTATGATGCTTAGGGCTGTATGCCCTCAAGTTGGTTCCAACTTATGGTTACCTAAGGCAAAACCTATCATAGGGTTTTCTTGGCAAGCTTTAGTCACAGGATGTTTACCTTTGACTTCTTCTAGGGTGACCCACTGAGTGATCTTGAACAAGTCACAAGGTCTCAGCCTCAGAGAGAGGCAAAGTCAAACAAATTTTGCCAACTCTTATGATCACCATGAACCAGAAATGACTTGAAGGCAAAAAAAAAAAAGCAGCTTTAAGCTATGGAAAGGGTTCAAAAACTCCAAAATTAAAGTCTTCAAAATAGTAGAAATTGACAAATTAGCAATGATGAACAAAGAAAAAAGACACAAAAAACTTTATCAAGGATTGGGAAACATTTCTAAACTATGTAAAAAAAAAAAGAAGGAAAAGTTTTGATAGAAGGCTTCATAATTTAACCTGTTCGAATCTGTGTAGGGAATTTATAAATAATAAATATCAGGCCAGAAGGAAGAATAGAAAAGCAATGTAATAAGAAGGAAGAACAGAGTTATATATTAATGTCTCCAACCCAAGGGACAGAAAGTCACTAAATTGGGAGGGGTGGAAGGAGGGGAGAACATAACCAAATATGAATATTGTATGGATGTTAGAAAGTATTGCAATTGGTTCATGCATATATACATGTATATAGATTTGTTTCATTGTTTTTATGAATATGTGAATTGAAAATAAAAATATATTAATCATAGAAATATCAAAATAAAACCTCAAGAATTCTGCAACTGAAAAGCAGACATACTAAGATCTACAAGTATCTACTTTAAAACTTCTTCCCCTTATCCTCTTTCTCACCACTTCAAATTGCTTTTTCCTACTTTCTTCCTAAAGAGCGAGATGCAAAGGAAGTCAGCAGTGAATTCCTGTGTGGTTGATTAGGAAAGTCTCCTTTCAACCTTCCCTGGCTGAGAAGATGACTGATGATGGAGGTCTGCTACGTGTTCAATGGGTAAACGAAATGGCAGGGCTGCCAAAGCCTGAGACTCAGAGGGACAGGTAAGGTACAGAGTGGTGGGAAAAGTGGGGGAAATGGACACAAAATAGAGGAAGGGGCTGAAGGAAAGGGCAGACTGAGATAGCCATCAAAAGACAAACAAACAAGGGCAATAAAACTAAAAGCTGGGCCCCAAAAAATCTGAGAGTGCAATGAAGCTGTGATGGGGTCAGGACCGTGTCTAAAACTGAAGCAAACACAGTTCAGTTCCCACCACCACCCAGATAGCTTTTCTGCCTGAGAACCAAAGTGGAATAGAATTCTTGGTCTGCAAAGACATCATGGAAAGATGGGCGCAAAGTGCTACTTGGGAATCAACAATGTTAGCCTTGCTAGTCTCAACAATTTATAGCCTTCACGTGAGAATGAACCTAAGGGAGCAAAACTGCTCATCTGATGATCAGAACATCAGATGTGAATTTGGGGAGGTGGAGGGGACAGGAGGATCTTGGAGGAAAGGAACCTAGAAAATCCCAACAGACTACCCTATTACAGTAAAAATGGCACAAGCAGCAGTTTATTTCATATCATGTAATAAACATTTAATCTGTTATTTTTTTTTCTGCTGGCCATACACTGTTAAAAGTTTTGAATATGTTTGTATGGATTTTAGCGGAATGTTTTAAAACCAATGATATTTAATTTTGTTTTAAAATTTATATATTTGTAGATTTTAAATTGTATTGAAATGCTTTTAATGTAAGCCACTTTGAGTCTCCTTGTGGAGAAAAAAGTGGAGTATAAATAAACATAACAGCAACAGCAACAGAGCAAACATTTTATCACCAAAGTAAGGGGATCAGCATTAAACGGAGAATACATTCATACAGTATGTATCCAGGTAATGTTATCATAGTTGTTCATTTCTTAGAAATTACTCCATATATTTAACTGGGAAATAACTATCCTCATAAATACCGATCCACATTGAATAAGATTGGTTACATGAAGACTGAAAAAGGCAATGGTGCGGGGGTATGGTTCCTAAACCGTCTGCTTCTGTTTTGTTTTGTTACATTTTTCAGGTTTAAATGAAGTGTTGGATTCACACTGGCTTTACTAGGAAAACAACATACTAGTCTCAATTTAAACATGTTTCTTCTGATTTGAAAGTTCTACAAATCCAACTTACCCTGCGTCCTGCCTCATTGTTCTGTAGGTTCATGAGAGTACGGGCCTGTTCATCCGATCCCTTGGCATAGTTTCTTTCCCTCTCCCTGGCATCCACAAATTCCTTGGCGAACCGGTAGCCATACTCCACATTGTCCCCGCATCCGCCCCACAGCCAGTCTCGAGGCAGGTCCTTTGGCCGGGGTGTCCGGCTGCAGCCACAGGAAGAGAGCTCCCCTTCGCGACAGGCACGGCTGATGGCATTCACCACTCCGGCTGCGCTGACCGCATACGTGAATGCAGTCTCTCGGCTACCTGGCGGAAAGAATGGGGAGATGGTTAGAAGAGAACCCATCTCAGGTAATGTAGAAGCTGAAGAACTAAAGAGGGAAAGTAAAACATGAATGCAAGAAGATCAATGTACCGTAGGATCAGAACGAAATTCTTTATCAGGGATGGAAAACTGTGAGGGGCTCAGGGGCCACAATAACTTAGGAGACACCTTAGATCAGGCATTCTCAACCTGTGGGTCCCCAGGTATTTTGGCCTACAACTCCCAGAAATCCCAGTCAGTTTACCAGCTGTTAGGATTTCTGGGAGTTGAAGGCCAAAACATCTGGGGACCCACAGGTTGAGAACCACTGCCTTAGATGCATATACACTATAGAATTAATACAAGTTAATACCACTTGAACTGCTCTGGCTCAGTGTTATGGAATCATGGAAGTTGCTATTTTGCAAGGTCTTTAGCCTTCTCTGCCAGAGAGTAAAAGGTGCCTCACCAAACTATAACTTCCATAATTCCATAGCATTGTGCTAAGGCAATTAAAGTGATGTCAAACTGCACTAATTCTACAGTGTAGACCAGTGGTTCCCAACCTTTTTTTGACCAGGGACCACTTGACCAGGGACCACTTGACCAGGGACCACTTTGACTAGAGACCAACATTAGTACCAAAAAGGTTATGAATCAGTTTTTGATCAGCTTAGCATCAGATCTAATTTCTGATGCAGAACATATGCCATGGTTGGCGACAGGGAAGGAATGGCAGGCGGCATGAAAGGAGCAGAAATAAATACAATAAAATAAAGAGGAAGAAGGCTGGCAGACCAGATTTTCCTGTATGCAGCCCACAGGTTAAGAATCACTGGTATAGATGCACCCCTAGAAGGCTGCACCAACTTCCAACAAAACCTTTTAAAAGCCCTAAAAATCAAGTTCCCAATTGCCAACTAATGTCTCATAGGAAGTTGAAGAGACACCTTTGTGACATATTTCATGTCTTCTGACTATTTTAGAACAAGGGTTGGTCTGAACAGAAGTCATTTGTGGTTTGATTCCAGTTTTTAAAAGGTATTCTGAACTTGGTATGGCTTGGGGAGGGAGCATGGCAAAAATGGTCCCCAAGACCCCAGTGGGTATTCTGGGGGAGAAAGAGTACAGCCTAGGGCCCCACTTTTCCAGAACGGATACATATAGTCTAGCATTCAATTCACTATCGCTGACAACATCTCCTTTGGGGAAGCCTACTATGAGAACAGAAGTACAATTGCATTTTCCATCTCCCACGCTACAGCAACCACTGAACAGGAACATATTGCTCTTAATACAAGAAGTGATATATAGCCATTCTTTCTCCATCGTCCTAATCTCGCTCCAACTTGGCAGCCATAAGTTGGACAATTCTGGCAATGAATTCCACTTTATGTGCTGTATGAAGAAGTGCAGATTAACAAAATAAATGTGTTCATAGCCTTACTTATTTAAAAGAACATTTGGTACAAATAATATGGAAAAATAGGAATAGGTTCCTATGCTACAAAAAAGATCAGTTCAGTGTATTTCGCCAGATCTTTACATCAAAACAAATAACACACACGTGAAACGAAGCAACATTACATATGTAAACAAAAACATTTTGAACCTTCTAGAGACCACTAGGAAGCTTCTTCCAAAATTCATCAAGAGATGAATTATTGAACCCCCCCCCCCCAAACTTTCTTACGATTTCCATTTTGGTGGCCAGATCTATGCTTTTTAACCAAGGAGTGTATCCACACTGGAGGATTAATGCAGTCTGATACAGCCTTCTCTGCCAAAGAGTACTGGTGCCTCACCAAACTACAAATCCCAAAATTTCATAGTATGGTAGTACAGGTGGTGTCAACCTGCATTTATTCTGCAACGTGTGCACAACTGGTAGAGCCATCTTATCCCCAGTCTTCTTTTTACTTTTGCTGTTTATGCATGCTCAGTAAGAGATTGTAGTGACAGGTAGCATTTACCTTGCCTGTTGTTGGCAGCTGCACACACAACTACAGTAGGATGAAGTAGAATGCCATTCTTTCCTGGCACAAGTTTGCTTGCATTGTTTATTGTAGACACACTGCTGCAACCTGATACTAAAAGTCTGTGTTTCTATACCCCTCCTTCCCAACTCTCTTACTGCTTCTTTTCTCGTGTCAGGTGCAACTTGAGAAACTGCAAGTCCCTTCTGGTGTGAGAGAATTGGCCGTCCTCATTGCCCAGGGGACACCCGGATGATTGATGTTTGGCCATCCTTGTGGGAGGCTTCTGTCATGTCCCCGCATGGGGAGCTGGAGCTGACAGAGGGAGCTCAACCCACTCTCCCTAAATTCGAACCTCTGACCTGCTGGTCAGCAGTTCTGCCGGCACAAGTCAGCATCTGTTGCACCACTGAGACTCCTTTTAATGCTTATGTGGCAAAAAAAATCGAGCTTGACAGAGGACAAGGACATAAAGGGACTGGGCCAGCAAAAAAGCAATTTGGAAATGAAGCTTTATGCCTGTAGTATCTGTTCTGAATTTTTCATCTGGCTTCTGTGAATAATCCTAATATTATGAGAAAAAGAAACCCTGCATATGTGAGGTAGACATGTCCTCCTATTTTCTACACTATACTTGATTTTATATACCTCTACCATGACTTTCTTGCCTCTCCTCAAATGTTAGTGTTGTTGTTTTCCTACCAGTAGTTTCTGTCAACCCTGAGGTGAACCTATCATGGGGCTTTCTTGGCAAGATTTAGAGGAGGGTTGCCTTTGCCTTCCCCTGGAGCTGAGAGAGTATGACTTGCCCAAGGTCACCAAGTGGGCTTCCATGTGTGAGCAGGGATTCAAACCTAAACTAAATGTCCCCAAATATTGTAACCTTTACTCACTTTTGTTTCAATCCCTTGATCATTTTGGTTAGTAGTTTACTGTACATTACAACTCTGCAATATCCTTGGTCGGTTATAGTGAACAAAACATTGCAAAGTATTCAAGATGTTGTTATACTGCAAAGGCACCCCTATCCTGTTCAGAAAAGGATTGCCTTTGCCTTCTCTTGAGGTTGAAAGAGTGTGACTTGCCCCAAATCACTCTCTCAGCCTCAAAGGAGGCAGAAGCAAGATCCCCCTGCACAAATTCTGCCAAGAACCCTTAGGATAGGGTCACCATTAATTAGAAATGACTTGAAGGCACACAACGAGACCTCTTGAACTTGAATTTGTTATTGCATTCTCCAAAAATGCATGCTGTGTAAAACTTTAAATTTATCATTTGGGGCATCTTGTTTTCAGCCCTCATTTATAATTTGAAACCCCAAATGATTGCGTAATTGATATGTAAATACAGTACTGCTTCTATGCACAAGGCATTCTTCATTAAGTGCAATGAAACAGACTCATCAGCCTACAAGAATTCACATAGACATTGAATCAGCTGTCCTAAACCACACTATTCTTCCCTTGAATCACATATTGCATCCCATTTTCCACATGATTTGTAACACATCTTTCACTGCTGTGTCCAGTTTGTCCTTAAGCCTTAACTTCTCTGTGCAAGCTCCAGTGAAACTGTATTTGACAAATATCTCACAGTAATTATAATAGTAAATATTGACACTAACATGTAGTTGCAAAGCCTTGTATCTTTACAGAGAATACTATGTAAGCAGACTGTTGATTTAGTGGGCAGCCTCAACTAATACGAAATTCCATACATGCTTTGAAGCCTCACAACTAGTGTGGTATCATGGTGCTGGACTGGGACACGGCAGATCGAAGTGCCAGCAGAGCCAGGAAACTCACTGTGTCCTTGGCCCAGTCATTCCATGTCAGTCTGACTGACTTCACAGGGTTGTGGTATAAGAATGTGTCCCTATTTTTTTCCAGGTTATTTCTACTTCTGGTTTCAAATCTGTTGCTAAAGAATATCCAGGAACATATCTATCTACTTCCTGAATTGGGGTATACCTGTAACACAATCACCCTATCAGGAACCTGTGTTTTTGGCTAATAGAGATAATACAACAATCCCAAACAAGCTCTGGCAATGGTTGGTTTTGCATACATTGAGCCAAAAATACAGAAAACCGTTCCCACAAATCTGCATCATGACTCATGGTTTTTGAATCTTTGGGTGGAATTGACAATGAGGAGACAGATGGTATCTGATTGCTTTACTTCATCAGGCACTCCCTTATCCTCTGATGTTTTGTTCCTCTGAGTTGACTTCTCTCGGGATGACTTATTGACTCCTTGCTTTGGATCCAAACAAAGGATGGACCACGCCTTGCCGACACTGGGGAGTATGTAGATTGGGTTAGTTATTAGCATTGCACATCTCTGGCTCAAATCATGCATATATGCATGCATTGCGTTGGAATTTTATTGAGGCTCTTACAGTTTTGCCTCATTCTGAACAGCCCCAAGCAGCAATGAAGAGAGATGTGTCCTCAAAGATATTCAGAAGGAAAATAAATAGTGAAAAGGACATCATTAACCTTGGAGAAGCATTTTGACTTCAAACCAACTGGGACCAAGAATAAATCCAATGCAGAAATAATTCTTAGAAGGTGCTCTTTAACTACCACTTTTACTTGTCATCATACCAGAAGAACACTGTGAGAAAGAGAATGCCAACAACAACATTTGTTGTTGATGATGTTTAACTGTCCTTCAGCTTTTGAATGAATGTGTATAAGGATGTATGTGTGTACAAGCAGTCCCCAAGTTATAAACAAGATAGGCTCTTTAGGTTTATTCTTTAATTGAATTAGTGTAAGTCCAGACATAGATAGATAGATAGATAGATAGATAGATAGATAGATAGATAGATAGATTACATTTTTAATGCTGAATTGTTTTTATAAATGGTTTTAACTGTACCCTGATATTTGTTATGGCATCAAATAGTTGCAGGTTGTGAACCGCCTTGAGTCGCCTCCAGCTGAGAAAGGCGGTAAACAAATGCTATATATATATAGAGAGAGAGAGAGAGAGGATAAAGCTTTGTATAGCATAGGGAAG